ACATATATATATATATATAACACACACACACACACACACACACATACACACACACACACACACACATACACGCACACACACACACACATACACCCACATGAACAAATCATTGAATTGTTTAGTACTTTACATTTAGACAGACAGACACACACACACATATACAACCGTACAGAAGTTTACTTCAAAATACAAACTTTAGTGGGAGACGGTCCCAAAGATGTCCATGGACTGCATTGATTGATACTTTTGTTTTCTTCAACAACTGCGTAAAAAGAAAAAATGAAATTGAACTGTCCTGTGAACTCGTTCCCTCTCCCTATCCCATCACATCACATCATATTACCATCACCATCACCATCACCATCACTTCTTTCTTTGAAAATTAAACTGAAGACGAAATGAAACAAACTTCTCCTTATCTCTTTCTCTTTCTTTCATCCATCCTCTCTAGCCCTTTATCAATCTCTACTGCTCTCCCTAGAAGCTTCCATTTCTTTATTTCTCTTTTATCCTTCCATTCTATCACAAATTAGTTTTAAAGAAATGATTGCAAATTTACGGAAAGATAGCGATTGAGGAAATTTTGTATGCGTAAGCAGGGGTCAAATTAGAGCAAAGGTAAAAGGTCGAGGTAAGGATGTGGATAAAGTAGAGAGAGAGGGAGAGAGTAGCACGATACGGACAGAGATGGCATTGTACAAATAACGATTGCAGTGATCAAGAAATTATCGCAAATAATTGCAGTAATGTTGAAAATACTGCGAGATTGGGGAAGAGGAAGTTATTTAGCATTATGGGAGAGGCCAAAAGTGCACTGATAAAGAACTTAGAATAGATTTAAGCAAAGTAGAGAACTCTTTGCAAATACAAATAATTCAACTCCAAAAATCAAACTCGAAAGTATGGTTTTAACCGATGTCAAGAAGGTAAACTATGAAAAGTCGCAGTATATACCATATTCTTATTGGAAAAATCCCTCTTTAATGCAGTAATAATCCTGTGATACTTCACATCTACCATCATATCACTGCTAACTCATTCATTTATTTATAAATGGACATTGGCGCCTGAATAATTCCTTCCTATTAAACTAACATAAAAAATAGTTGTGTAGTCGGTCAGCATTTTTATATCAGTGAATATATTAACATTCCTTCCACCACACCACCGTTAACTCAGATTTTTCACTCCACCACCGCTAACTCACACACATACAAGCACACATGCACAGATAGACAGACGGACGGACAGACACACACACCCGTACACATACAGGTATGCCAGCATGTCTTAACATTTACACATAGGGTATTTTAATAGTAAGGCCAAACGGCTTTACTATTAAAATTATTCATAGCTGTAATATCATTGTTACAACAAGGCGAAAGGATGGACAAATGGACAGATGAACAAACAAGTGGACGACAGACCAACAAAGAAGTAAATGGTGCCATGGAGAAAGTGAACACTGAGGCAGACTGTTTTGGTCAGGTCATTGAAGGGCAACGAAAGCTGTGGAAGAAGCAGATGTCCATATAGATGCCCACGACAATGCATGCGCATATGTTTAATGTCCAAGGGCATTCCTTATTCCACACCAGTAGCAGCAGCCACATGAGCAATTATCTTCCTCTATCCGTAAATTTGCCAAATGATCCAAAATCAGATTACGATCATCGGAAAGGAGTTGAAGGGAAGAAAAAAAACATTTCTGTAAGTGAGAGCACGGAATTCAAGATGTCTGTTAACCGGAAGCAAGTTTAATATAACAAATTCTGAAGCTTGTAGGTAGAACTGAACAGAAGTAAAGCTGAGATTTAGATGAAACCAAAACATATAAAAAAGAAGATTGAAGTTGGAGAAGGAAAGAAAAAAAGATTAAATGAAGAATAATGTTTAAGGATCGTTGATCGGATACAGTTTACGGAACATCACATATACCGAAAATATATAAAAATATACTGGCTTCAACAAGGTGAATATTCGATCAAAGTATGTCAATCTTCACAAATAATGTTCGTTTTTGGCAGTGATTACATTTTCAATTCATTTAATTAATCTAACCTGACAACGGTAATATATAGGGATAGATGGTATTCATCCATTCCTCGTAATGCTCTATACCCTGTATGCATGAATGTTTGCGTGTGCGCGTGTATGCGTGTATGCGTGTACGTGTGTATGTGTGTATGCGTGCATGCGTGCATGCATGTACGTGTGTATGTGTATATGCATGTATGCGTGTATGAGTATATGCATGTATGCGTAAACTCTTAATAAAACATCTAAAATCATCAGAAGCAGCAACAGCAGCAAGGAGCTAATCACAGACACGTGCCTGTGCTGCATTTCCGATAACGAAAAAAAATTAACCGCACATAAAGGTACGGTAATCTCTGCTGTGAAATACTGTACAAATTTACGATAATTTATTCACTAATATCAAAATCGATCAAGAAAAAAAATAATTCTAACCAATTCTCGGTAAGGAGTATAAGAATAAAAAAGAAGTACTGATGAAATTGAAAAAGAAAGGAAGTGGAGACTTTTTTTCTAATTTGAGCTCATCTAATAAGAAGAAAAATGAATATAACCAAAGAAACTGTCATCGTTATCACGAAACTACGATCATGACAAACAATTCATCCTAATTTGTGATAATGGAAAAACAAACATTGCTTTACTCCATACAATTGCACCGTAATTGTAAACAATACAAATGAGAGAGTGCTCAATAATGGAACAGATTAGTGGAGTACAGTAATGAATGTCTTTTTCATTCCTGGATAAATTGAAGCCAAGCGATAAAAACTTGGACATTTGGATTTATGGGATTTAGTCATTTTCACTTTTATCTTCTTGAAGACCTTTTTTTTGAGTGAGTGGACTATTAATCAAAGAAATGACAAAATGGTTGGTATGAGACTGACTATTTGGTCAGCTACTATTTGATACAATATGGGGATAAGACTGTTCTTGGCACGTCCCAGAAATAGTTAAATAATCAGTGATAAGTTATTCCAAGCATTTATTCACCTTATTGGAACACGTCTCACTACAAATATTTCATCCCTTTGATTAGTGAATGAATGAATGAATGAATGAATGAATGCAATTCCAACTTCGACACACATGCAAAAGCGCAACTGTGTATCCTTCTTAACAGTAGTGAGCAATATAGGGCGCTTTAGTGCAATTTGATGAGTCTGACTTAAGCAACAATTGCTTATTACGAACCACATCCTGAAGCAAAGCATTTCCGAAGCTAATGTCGGCAATCGCAAATCTCCCCGACACTTTGTTACCACCATCAATTACTCTTCACATTATTACAACTTAACAACTAACGTTATACTGATTAGAAGCAAATATAAGGACGGACAAACACACACACACACACACACACACACACACACACACACACACACACACACACACACACACACACACACACACACACACACACACACACACACACACACA